GTCCCACAAAAAGATACGACTCATTTTGCCCAAAATTTCTTGACTTTGAGAGCGCCTCGCTACTCTTTCCATCACTGAGCATTTTGGAAAGCACAAGTGTGGTTGAGTGTTTCTCAAATAGCAGTTGATGTTATTGGAGGCTTTGGAAAAAGCCACGGGAGGCAGCGTTGACCCAGTCCTACGAGCGAGCACAGCAGCGTGGAGCTTAGAAACAGAATCCCCCGAGGGCTCTGGGCTAGAGTATCTTGTATGTGCAGCAACTGGTTTTTAGTGTCTTTGGGCTTAATATTCTAGGGAAAGAATGAGGAAGAAAGTTTAAGCAGTCACGGAGCGTTTTCAGTTTGAATGGACTCTGACCGAATCCATCAAACTCCTGGAGAGCTCAGTATACCAGGTCTCTAGTCTGAAGATCTAGGATTCACGATCCTGATTCCGTTCTGGTGTAGGTACTTTCAGTTTTCCCATACTTCTAATTCATACACAAAAGGCTACTGAGCCCAGCTTTCTCCTGGAGCAAGTTTGGGAATATTTACAGTGCATTTTACTACTCACATACTCTCTTTTCTCCATGGGAGTCTGAAGAGTAAGATTTTGAACGTGGAAAGTCAGATTTGCAATACTATTTGAGAGCGGTTCATTCAATGTGCGCAGCAACCTTATTCTCTGTCCTACTGTCAAATCAAGGAGCAGAAAAGTGGCTGAAGGGTTGAAGAGGATGGCACAAGGCTGAGAGTTCAAGGTCAATGATGCAGTTTAGATTTGGAAATTTGGAGAGCTGGATAGAAGGTGGAGAGTTTTTAGGAAGATCCCCAAGTCTCAGGGTTGTGGAGATGCTAGGTCCTTTCACTTTGGGAAAGGAGGAGTGGGCTTTATCATTTGTTGTTATGTTGTTTTCTTTCGGAGGGGGGGTGGGCATTGAATAGGGCTAGAAACAGGGAAGAAGGAGTTCGATGTGGGACTTCATTTATTTGGATACTTATGACTTTAAGGTGCAAATTCATGTTAATGTTTGATAAGCACAGTGATTCCTGAGACTAGAATGTTACAAAGATCTCTTCCCTGGAGATTTGTATAAAGCCTGTGGCTGTAGGGGAGAAGATCTCTGCACAGAGGTAGAGTGAACCCTGAAGAGAGTCCCCTATAATTTGAAGATTTGGAGATCCTTAAAGGTATTCATTGAAAACAAAGGGATAAGCTTTGCCTCTAGAGTGATCTTGGACTCTGGAGTTCATACCGATTACCATTATCTTCCTGAAATTTCTAAGAAAATCTTAAAAGCAGCAGCTTCCAAGTGAGATGATCTTTCTTTATCTTTTCTTTGCCAACTTCTGCCCCATTAAGAATCTTCTCCATGTTCACAGGAATCCTATGAATTCGCCTTATAACTTGAGAAGACTCCATTTTTCTAACAGAACTTGGTTCCCAGCTGACCCAGAAGGCAGCTCATCAGAGCAATTGAACGTGAGAGGAGTAAGCAGAAGCAAAGGTCTCCTTGAAGGAGACTGTTAGACAGATGTCAGGCAAAAAGATATGCAGTCACTTAAGTATGGGCTGAATGATAGAGCAGGGATTAATTTGGCTCTGAGCCTTGTGAAGTACAATTAGGATAGTTTTGGGGTAACTGTGAAGTTATTGCTTGATATTGTGGCTAGAGCAACTTGGATTCCAAATGCACCCTTGTAAGTTTCCGATATGGAGGGATTCAGGGATGCATTCTTGTTAAATCAAGGTGTACTTGAAAGTCTCAAAAGTGTATTTTAGGTATCATTTTTGAGATGGTCCAGTCTGCTGTGTACAGCACTGTTTGAACATCTCCTCAATGGAGGGATTGTGGTAAGAGTTCTTAAAGTATAGGATTTTATGAGATATTAAAAGTTGAACTTAGCAGAAAAAATGTACGTATGCTCTCCGTCTTCTACTCAGGAAATTCAAAACCTTTAAATTGTGTGCATAATCCATGTAGGTTATGGGAAGAATGGAAGTCAATCTGTTTTGGAAGGATTCTCAGAAATGAGGGAATGGAAAAACGTTTTGAAGGTAAAGCGATATATACTATGTTCTGCATTTTACAGACTGCATTTGCCTATATGATCTCCTTTGATTTTTACAAAAGCTTTTTAATATAGTCGTTGTTGGTCTTGCTTTACAGGTATGGAGAGGATATGCAATTTGCCTTATTTCACTAATTTATTAATGGATAGGGGTTGAGACACAAACCAAAATTATATGCCTGCATATCTTGAGTTCTTTCCTAATAATTCCATACCACATCTCTCTCTCACACACACTTAGCATTTCCCTCTTGTGTCAGGCACTGTATGTATCATACGACAAAACCAAAAATGCAATTAGACAGTCACTGAATCAATAATATTATCATCAATTACCCAGTTTTGCTCACAACCCTTCTTAGTCCAGGCTCCCATTTTAGGAATTCAGTGGTTATTGGCTTAATGAAGTTCTAGCATCCTTGTAGGTTCTTTGTCAGAAGAACCATAACCATCCCATCATAGGTCAGCTTCCAGAAGTTAAATCAGAGAGCTCCTATCATTCCTGCAATTTGGAACAGGAAGAGATGGGGGTGGGGGGTGGGGTGGGGAGGAGTAACCATGCCTGGAATTGATGGAGAAGATAAGTCATCTATACAGAGTAAAGAGAAACGAACAAGTGAGAACTTGTGATTCAAAATTCCTTGCAATTAGAGTAAGATTCACTAATATCTTGAAGAAAAGAAATAAACACCCACTGAAACCTTGAAAAATCATCACAAAGAAGTAATAAACTGAGAGAACAGAATGATAAACATTTGTGGGTACACAGGTTTGCTCTCCTATCTTTTTGAGACTTGGCCCATTTTAAGTTTCCAAAACCTCTTTGATGTTAATTATTGATTTGTGAAAGAAGAAACTTCACTTGTATCACTTCTCCTGACCAGCAACACCTCAGGAACCAGCCACTGGAAGTCAGCTCAAAAAGCTTCTACTTGTTGTGCAACATGAGACAGACGACCATGAAGGGACTCGAATCCTCAGTCTTCTGATCTGGAATCAGATGCCTTATCCATTAGGTCACATGGCCACTGCCCCAGTTCTGTTGTACAAGAATGTAAGTGAAAGAATTGATAAGGGAGCATTAAACTTTCGTTGTCAAAGTTTTAACTTTGCAGTTGGAGGATATTTTAACAACATTCAAAAAAGGAATCAAATATCACCTGAAACCTCTGAAAACAATTGCTTAGAATTAATAAACTGAGATGTGACAAGTGACCTATTTCTTGGAGAGTGCTCTCGTCTAAGTCACTGATAATGATGACACGTTTGGGTGGAGAAATATGAGCCAAGAACTAAACTCTGCAATGAAGGCATGCAGATGACAGTATGAGGAGGAGACACTTCGGAAGTTGTTATGTTAAGATCTTTTCTGTCTCAAAGATAAAATGGCAAGGGCTCCCCTTGTCAGAAATGCCTGCTTTTATGTGAGAAAAGTATTTTATTATAATTCATTCATAACATAGGTTTTCACAACTTGATCCTCTACCAACAAGTAGAAGAATCACCCGACACGGAAGTAGGACAAGGTAGTGGGCCCCAAACCTTCTTGGGAGAGTAGTCCTGATATTGGAGGTGCAGTGTGGTGACTTCCAAGCTACCTCAAAAGGAGAGAAGAGGGCCAAAATAGCTTGGAGGGGAGCTTGTCTCATTGAAAAAACTCCAGAGTATTTTGCCTAAATGTCGTTCCCTAGTTCCCCTGAGGATTGATCCACAAAACAACCCACGGTGATTTTGTGTGACCCACCCCCAACTATTCCTTGTATATTGGTAGGGTAGGAGAGAGAAGAAATCCACAGATTCCTAAAGTAAAGCAATTACAAATTCTCTCTGTTTTCACATAGTCTTGGTTTCTTGGAGGTGCCGAGTTATTTGGAAGAAGTAAACAATAGTTTTTACCCTTGTCCCGCAATGTCTTTGCTCCCCAGAAAAGTTAGTCTTTCTTTCATCCCCGAACTTCCCCGTTTGTTCCCGGATCCCCTGTACAGTATTTTCTCCAGGCTTAGGTCAAAACTCACGAACTATCTTAGATCATACTCTGGATGGAATATCCTAATGTACACTAATTCATCGAGATAATTATCCTTTTCCTTTGAAGGTGAGCAGTAAACAGTCAAGAAAGACATTAAGGAGGAAGAGAAAAAGGAAAAGGAAGAGAAGGAGGAAGAAGAGGGGGGAGAGGAGAAAGGAAATGAAAAGAAGGAGCGGCTTATAGACGGTATAGAAGTTGCATCATGAACTTAAGCAAGCATAGAGATACGGAAGATTAAACCCAGGCACCTTTGCTTCTCCACCATTACGGAAAGTTCTCGTCTGTCTTCAAATTTTCCGTCCTTCAACTCTTTTCTCCTCTGCCTTCCAAAGCTGCAGAAAGAGATACAAGACAAAGCAGAGGGATATGAAGAAGAGTAGCAGGAGTGTTGCTTCGAGAAAAATAGATGCAGGCGAGAAAATAAGAAACAAAGCGATAAAATCACATCACCTGGTAAAATTGAACCCCTCTGGGCAAGGGTTCTGGGTCTAGCAATGTGGTCTAAAACCAAGCAGTTCTTTGTCTAGGCAACCCAGCTCTGTTTCTGAAATTCTAAAACGACAGAACACAAGACAGAAGGAAGCGAAAATCTCCTAGCGTTTATAACGTCTTTGAAACAATATCTTCTTGGCAAGGAGAAGAATTAAAAGGAAGCTATTTGGAAAGTGGAGCCCTGGTGGCGCAATAGTTAAAAACTCGGCTGGTAAACAAAAGGTTGGCAGTTCCAAAGCCTCTGGAAACACTATGGGGTAGTTCTACTCAGTCCTATAAGCTCACAATATTGTCGGAATCGACTGGTCAGTAACGGTTTTTGGTTTTTTGTTTGTTTGTTTGTTTATTTGGGAAATATAATATGAAATATAAAACTAATTGATCTACGCAAAATGTATCTTAGGTACTGGGGGCTGCTGTACGAGAGTGCTTGGGTAGCTCAGTTGGTAAAACATCGGGCTTTTAATCCGAGGGTCCAGGGTTCAAGTCCCTGTTGAGGCAATATCCTGCTCTTACCCTATGTATCTATCTTGGAATCCTATTGCGATTCACTTCTGCTGAGAGAAACTCATCCAAAGGTTTACTACAGGCTTCTTCATCGTTATCTTCTTTTTTTTTTTAAAATTTCATTGTGCTTTACGTGAAAGTTTATAGCTCAAGTTAATTTCTCATTAAAAAATTTATACAAGTTATTTTGTGACATTGGTTGCAATCCCCACAATGTAACAGCATTCTCTCCCTTTACACCCTGGGTTCCTTGTGTCCACTTGTCCAATTCCTGTTCCTTCCTGCCTTCTCCTCTTGCTTTTGGGCACGAGTTGCCCATTTGGTCTTTGTATTTGATTGAACTAAGAAGCATGTCCCTCGTGTGTGTTATTGTTTGTTTTATAGGCCTGTCTAATGTTTGTCTGAAAAGTGGGCTTTGGGAGTGGTTTCAGTAGTTTTAAGTTAGCAGGGTGTTCAGGAACCATAGTCCTGGGGGGTTCCTCCAGTCTCTGTTACACCAGTAAGTCTGGTCTTTTTTCTTGAATTGGAATTTTGTTCTACATTTTTCTTCTGCTCTGTTCAGGACTGTCTGTTGTGATTCCTGTCAGAGGGATCGGTGGTGGTAGCCTGACATCTTCTCCTTCTTCTGGGCTCAGGCTGGTGGAGGCTGTGGTTCATGTGGTCCTTTAGTCCTTGTGTCTTTGGTTTTCTTCATTCCCCTTTGGTCTGGATGAGATGGAACCTATTGCTGTATCTTAGATGGCCACTCACAAGCTTTAAGACCCCAGATGCTATTTACCAAAGTAGAATTTAGAACATTTTCTTTACGAAGTGTTATGCCAATTGGCTTATATGCCCCCTAAGACTATGATCCCCAGCCCTCAGCCCCAGCAACTTTGTCCTGCAGAGTGTCTGGATGTGTCTAGGAAACTTTATAACTTTGCCTTGGTCAAGTTGTGCTAACTTCCCCTGTATTGTGTGTTGCCTTTCCCTTCACCAAAATTGACACTTGTCTACTATTTAGTTAGTGATTTCCCCTCCCCATGCTCCTCCACCCTTGTAACCATCAAAGAATTTTTTTCCGTGTGTGAACCTTTTCTAGGGTTTTTATAATAGTGATCTCATACAATATTTGTCCTTTTGTGATTGACTTATTTCACTCAGCATAATGCCCTCCAGATTCACCCATGCTGTTGTTGCATACTCTTCCATTGTGTGTATGTGCCATAATTTATTTATCCATTCATTTCTTGATGGGCTATACACAAAAACCAACTCAAAATGCATCAAAGACCTAAATGTAAAACCTAAAATGATAAAGATCATGGAAGAAAAAATAGAGACAATGCTAGGAACCCTAATACATGGCATAAACACAATACAAACCATAACTAACAATGCACAAACACCAGAAGAGAAACTAGATAAGCAGGAGCTCCTAAAAATTAAACACTTACACTCCTCAAAAGACTTCACCAAAAGAGTAAAAAGAGAACCTACAGACTGGGAAAAAAGTTTTGGCTAAGACACATCTGACAAGGGCCTAATCTACAAAATCTAAAAAATATTTCAACACCTCAACAACAAAAAACAAACAATCTAATTTAAAAAATGGGTAAAGTATATCAATAGACCCTTTGCCAAAGAAGACATTCAGGCGGCTAACAGATACATGAGGAATGCTAGTGATCATCAGCCATGAGAAAAATGAAAATTAAAACTACAGTAAGATACCATCTCTCTCTGACAATACTGGAGATAATAAAAAACAAACAAAACAGAAAATAACAAATGTTGGAGAGATTTTGGGGAGAACGGAACTCTTATGCGCTGCTAGGGGGAATGTAAAATGGTACAACCACTATGGAAAACAATAGAGCACCTCCTTAAAAAGGTAGAGATAGAAATACCATATGATCCAGCTATCTCACTCCTAAGAATATATCCTAGAGAAATAAGAGCAATCGCACGAATAGACATATGCACGCTCATGTTCATTGCAGCACTAGTCACAATAGCAAAAAGATGAATACTATAGGCTTCTTGACCTCTCTTCCTGCTGTTTGCTCAACAATAATCAAAATAGAATGAGGAGGAGACAACAGTCAATATCAAATCACATAAAAAAGGCAGTCCATGATGGCTTCAGCAAGCTCTCAAAATAAAGATCAATAAACTCTCTGGAGGAAAGAGTTTCTTGGAATTACCAGAGGCAGAATACAAAAGATTAATATACAGAACTCTTCTAGAAATTAGAAAGGAAATTCATCAAAATGCAGAAATTGCCGAAGAACATACAGACAAAGTAGTAGCCGAACTTAAAAAAGTTATTCAAGAATATAATGACAAATTTAATAGGCTGCAAGAATCTATAGAGAGACAGCAATTAGAAATCTAGAAGATTAACAATAAAATTTCAGAATTTGACAACTCAATAGAAAGTCACAGGAGCAGAACTGAGGCAGTAGAAGTTAGAATTAGTGACACTGAAAATAAAGCACTGCACACCAACTTGTTTGAGGAAAAATCAGATAAAAGAACTAAAAATAATGAAGAAACTCTAAGAGTTATATGGGATTCTACCAAGAGAAGTAACCTACGAGTGATTGGAGTTCCAGAACAGAGGAGGATAACAGAAAATACAGATAAAATTGTTGAAGATTTGTTGACAGAAAACTTCCCTGATATCATGAAAGATGAGAAGATATCTATCCAAGATGCTCATCGAACCCCACATAAGGTAGATCCCAAAAGAAAGTCACCAAGACATATTATAATCAAACTTACCAAAACCAAAGATAAAGAGAAAATTTTAAGGATAAAAGAAAAGTCATCTACAAAGGAGAGTCAATTAGAATAAGCTCGGACTAGTCAGCAGAAACCATGCAGCCAAGAAGGCAATGGGATTACGTATATAAAGCCTTTAAGGAAAACAACTGCCAGCCAAGAATTACATATCCAGCAAAAATGTCTCTCAAATATGATGGTGAAATAATGGCATATCCAGGTAAACAGAATTTTAGGGAATTTGCAAAAACCAAACCAAAATTACAAGAAATACTAAAGGGAGTCCTACCGTTAGATAATCAATAACACCAGCTAACAACTCAAGATTAGAACACGGGAGAGAGCAAACAGATATTGACTCAGATACGGAAATCGAAATTACATCAAAGCTAACACATTGAAAATAGGGAAACAGAGATATCAATATGTAAAAAA